TTCACACCTGTTCACACCTGTTCACACATGTTCACACCTGTTCACACCTGTTCACACATGTTCACACCTGTTCACACCTGTTCACACATGTTCACACATGTTCACACATGTTCACACTTGTTCACACATGTTCACACATATTCACATCTGTTGCAGTTCTGTGGCAGCACTCACTGATTGCATGAGGATTAAATCTCTGGCAAAGTTTTTTCGGGAGCGTCAGGCACAGTTGAAGCGTTCGCTACCTTTGGGTTCTTATCTACTCAAACCTGTTCAGAGGATCCTGAAATACCACCTGCTGCTCCAGGTAAGAACCCTTCACACCTGCAGTGTGTAAAGCAGCAGATCTGAGATCATTGTACAGAGGTGATGTAATGTCCTCTGTCGTGTCTCAGACTGAGCGTTCAAGCAGCCAAACATTGTTCCAGCACATTCAGGAGCGGAACACAGAAGTGGGTTCTGTCTGACTGATTCTGTTGGATGTTGTTGTTGTTTAGGAGATAGCGAAGCACTTTGACCCTGAGGAGGAGGGGTATGAGGTGGTGGAGGAGGCGATCTACACGATGACGGGCGTGGCCTGGTACATCAATGACATGAAGAGGAAACATGAACATGCTGTCAGGCTGCAGGTGAATCAGATGATTGGTTTAACACATATATTTGATGAACGGCTCTGAGGTGACGTCTTAAAGCAGCAGTTTTACGATGGAAGTTGATTAGTTGTTGATGTCCCTCCAGGTGGCGCTGTGCTATCAGGAAATCACTGTACAAAGTAAAAGCCCAGATAAAAGGTGTGTTTGTGTATTCGTTCAGGAGGTTCAGTCTCTGCTGTTGAACTGGAAAGGTCCTGACCTCACCACGTACGGAGAACTGGTTTTGGAGGGAACCTTCAAAGTTCATCGAGCCAAGAACGAGAGAACGCTGTTCTTGTTTGATCGCGTGCTGCTCATCACCAAACGCCGCGGAGAACACTACGTCTATAAAACGCACATCTCAGTGAGGAACACTACAACTCATGATTTTTTTTGAGTCTTTGTACAATTGAAGCTGACGCTGTTTTCTCTCTCTCGCTCTGTTTCAGTGTTCCACTCTGATGTTGATCGAAAACGCCAAAGATTCTCTGAGCTTCAGCGTCACTCATTACAAACATCCCAAACAACCACACACCGTCCAGGTCAACCCCCGACATCTCACACACCACAGCATTTTTTTTGTGTGTGACAGATACACAGCTCAGTAAAGTGAGGGAACCTTAATGTCCAGTTTAAAGTTAAACTTCAGATCAATGTGTCCATTTAGAAGAACAAGTGATTGTGAATCAGTTTCTCTGCTTTAATGCAAATCAAAGTAACAAGGTCATCAGACAGGGAATGTTTTTAATGTGGTGTCCACAGACAGCTGCTCTCTCCTGGTCCTTCCTGACTCATTCTAGTTCTATGTCCTTCTCGAGTCCTTGTCACTACTTGAGGCGCTACCTGCAGCACCATCAGGGTGCACAGGTAGTCCAGCTCCTCCAGGAGGACACATCCATACTTGTGGTCACAAGAAGGTTTGTGTCTCCAGCACAGTCTCCAGAGCCTGGAGGAGACACCAGGAGATGTTAAACCAGGAGACACCAGGAGACGATACACCAGGGTACATTACACCCAGGAGACACCAGGAGAGCTGGACAGTAGAAGAGCATCAACCTAGCAGCAGGTATCTGCTCCTTGTGAGGAGGAACAGGAGGAGCACTGCTCTACAAAATGACCTCCAGCAGGTTACTGGTGTGTTTCTGACCAAACTGTCAGAAACAGACTACATGAGGAGACATGACGTCCTCTAGTGGGACCTTAGCTCACAGTCCAGCACTGAGCAGCTCCATTCACCTGAGAACACCAGGACCAGCAGGTTCACCACTGGAGCCTYGTTCTCCTCACAGATGAGCAGGTTCACACTGAACACATGTGACAGATGTGAAAGGATCTGGAGAAGCTGTGGTGAACGTGACGCTGCTGTAACATCATCTATGACCAGTTTGGTGGAGGGTCAGTGATGGTCTGTGGAGGCAGATCCTTA